TAGGGTTGATGGATTGTTCGGGTTCAGGTTCTGGCCCTTCTGGGGGTCTCTAGGGATTTGGAGTGGGCTTCGTCCTGGCACAGGCACTGGCACTAGTCGCTAGCACTAGGAGAACTGGGCTGCAACGTAAGATTAATTACTGTTGTTCCAGGTGTTGACATACATCCGCAACACAGCTGCAGCAGCAGTGTTGCAGATATTGCAGTGACAAGCGTGATAGGACCAATAGGATGCTAATGTAGACCCAAAGTTGCTAGAAGAAGCCTCTGTATGAAGAATCCCATTGAAGGGATCTCTGATATGTTACGTCTGAGTCTTAGCGATGCTTTCCGCAGGCAATGAGCCGCGAGCGCTTGGAGGAGATAAGGCTCCGACTCCGACAAGGTTTGTTCTCCTACTACAGCATTGAGTCTGATACTACAGTTGGAAGTCGGCCGAGCCCTAGGTGTCAGAAGCCGGTGATATCCCGAAACTCAAAACTTCGAGCTCCGGGACGAGGGCCCGTAGCAACGTGATGTTTTCAAGTCTGGGGCTGGGCTTCCGGGTTGAGTTGGATTCCGAGGAATTGCCACCTGCCTCGGTAGAGTGTGCCTGCTGTCGATATCGAGTTTGCAGCGAAATCCGTAAAGGATGCCCAACTGATTCGAAAGGCAAAGTGCGCGCGACCGGAAAGAGGCCGAGGAGTCGGCGGAAGCGTCCCGGTGCCCTGGCATGGAGGTGGCCTCCGGACCTTCCTAGCTGTACCCAAACATGCACGGCCGTGGACACCACATGAGTGACATAATCAGAGTGCTTGAGAAGTAACGTGGTTCAATGCAGGCATCATGGCCGCGATGTTGAGAGTGTCGTTGATGGTGTGAAATCGATGTTCTGTGCTTTGGCCGACGGAGATTTCTGCGGTCACTCACCATGCCTCGGTCTTCTGCGGTGGTTCCCGGGAGTGAACACAGGCCATACAAGATGGCCGTACGTCTTACTACTGACTGCCTTGCTTCATACACTTGGGTTCGTGCAGAAGTGTTCATGTTGCCAGGAGCCGTAATGCGGGCAACAAGTTGAGAACGAGCTTCGTTTAATATGACAGCATTGACAGAAACTTATCTATGTAGGCATGCTGCACACGAACCATGACCACTCTGATCATCTTCCGACCTTTTTGTGAGCCGGAGTACGCTAAGGCAAAACAGCCAGGAGAACTGGAGGAAGCAGAGGCCGGAGTTCGCTTTGCACGATGAACTTGATCATCATGGTGTCCGCCCATGTGACCGTTGCGCTTCTTGCGGTAGTTGCTGGAAAGTGCCATGGCACATGCTTGATTCAGGACTTTGTGGATGAGGGTTTGAATTAGGCTCTACACGCTGGACCACAAAGCCTGCCATCGCCCGCCCAGCAGCAAGCTGCAGCTTTGTTGTTGTTCCGGAATCTTCATGATGTTTTCCTGATGCCCCGACGTTGGCAGGGCCCTGGAGCGCGAAAATCGACAGCTTCGGGAGCTGCACCGTTTCTTGAAAGATCGGTTGCTATCCCCTACAAGACGTGCTCTACAGTGTCCGTTGTATGCCTGCAGTGTCGGATGGTCATCTAGACTCGATGTTTTCTGCGCAGAGCGCCAGAGTACGAGGTGTCAAACACGAGAGGACTCTGACAGGCTACGAGAACGCGTAGCTGATGGGCATCTTGAAGCCCTGCAGATTTGGATGTGTCTTGGTGTTGGATCTGTAACTGGACCCCAAAGGTATGTAAAATAATGGTCCTTATAGGTTTTGGGCCATTATTCTACCCACTCTTGGAGGTTTATGTAGCGATGCTTCTTGCAGCGCATCTTGTCACAGGTGTATGGGTATCGGGACCTGATTTGAGCAGCAAGCACCGGCCATCCTCACGTTTCGTGCTGCTCGTACATATTACGCAGCTTTCGTTCAGATAAGATGGCTGTCATGGCCTTATGATTGAGGCTTCAAATCTAGTGGGGCGTGAAGGAAGGTTCTGGGAGCTGTACCAGGTAAGCACAAACTGGAAGAACGCCCCCGCCTTCTTGACAGGAGCGACTCCTCACATTGCAAGAAGCCAACAGCGAGCTCAAAAGCCCGAGCCCCGAATTCAGAGTTCTAGGCTGAACCGAAGCGTGTAGACTCGTGTAGACGACCCGGCCGTGTCGGGCTTGTGGCACTGGCCGTCATTTGGTTGAAGCTATCCGCAGAAACCGCACATCGTCGCACCATGAACGGTTCTTTGTGCAACCGTGTCGCCGCGCCGGTTGCCGCGGTCAAGGATCCTCATAATATTATTATAATTACTATTATTATTATTGTTGTTATTGTCCTGGAGGTTGCGAGTTTAGGGTCTGGGGATGGTTGCACCGCTCCGATGGCTCGGGCTCTCGATGTTATTACACGGAACCTGGGTCTTGGGGACTTTAAGTGGTTGGTTACGAAGATGATGCTTTGTGAAATTTCCGACTTCCAGACGCCAAGGGCTCGGGCGCTAGAGGAAATCTAGGAGTCTTAGAGTACCTGCACTGAGAGACACTGTTCGCATCTCTGCCCTTTTCCCTAATGTAGCCCACCCCCCCACACAGCTTCACTTGACTTACAGGCCTCGTAAGAGTTCAATTCCTGGATCGTGTAGTGCCGTCGTGCGCTGCTTCGCCTCCATTAGTTCTTCCCATGTCCTGTGATTGCTTGCAGTATATATGGGCTTCTGTACGGTATAATGTAGGGATGGAGCCCCTGAGGTGCTCGCTTGGAGATCGAAGAAGCGCGGAAAGAGAGCTTGGGACCTAGAATTCCTTAAGTAGGCCTGCAATCGTCGATTTTCGAGTTGTACAGACAGCCCAAGGGTCAGACACTGAGATGTTGATGTAATTTGAAGATGGCACGTGGAGCAATCGATGTTTCTTGGCGACCGGCGCCTGCTTTTCTAGCTCGAAAGCAATGGGTCTGCAAAGTCGCTGTTCATTCAAGGGCCAAAAGCTTACGAATCGAACTCACGCAAAGCCTTGTCAAGACTCGCGAAAAGCTGAAGCCTTAAATCCCTTTCCCTGCAGCTATGCCCATCTCACTACTGCCCATATCATTACCCTAAGGCTCTAACCACCGGGTTTACTGAGGCGGTTGGTAACCAGCACGATTAACCGGGCGGTTGCGTCAAAGGTCATCTGCAACGACCTATCTTTAAAGTACCTCCAGCCACCAACAAATTGAGCCAAAAGCATATGAAGAGACCACCCACGAAACCCAAAACTATAGTGACTTCACCACTCAGTTGGATTAGACTCACTGCTGAATAGCACCTCGTCCCCACACAAATAGGCCATGATGAGCCTAGCATTTGAAGGCTTTGAAGCCTTCATGTTTTGACCCTTAAACTTGAGCAAGTCAGGCCTGACACTATGCTTTCTCGCTCTAGAACTAACTCCCGAAAGCCTCTCCAGTTCATTTTTTCGTGAAAGCGCACACTTCTCGCTTTCGCACCCTGCAGAAGCAGCGACCACATTCCTCAGATTCGATAGTTTGCTCGAACATTGCACTGGTGTGCACACTTTGAGTGTCAGCCGAGAATCATGACACCGAGATCACCTTCGGAAGCCAGCAGCAATTTTTTTCCTGAGATCTCAGCTAGACGTGTATCTGTTGCAAGAGGAAGCCAGGCTCTGCACTTTGTGCCCAGTGTCGGGGTGAGCTTCTTCTTGCTTGCCAGCAGTTTAAGATTGGCCATCTTGGTCATCCATCGTGAAAGATTATCATGACCACGAGGTGCCTTCAGAGCTGTGCCTCACGGAATTCACAAGGGCCAAGGGCCAATAAATGGGGTAGCAGTTATTAGCAGCTCGTAGGTCCCTGGCGTTTAATCCACCCCATCGAATCTTCACCACCAAAATTGTGATAGTATCGCACATTCAGTCCTGAACAAACCAAATCAGTTGAATATCGGCTCACATGAAAGTCGCAGAGGCGATGTGTACGTAATTGAAGCCCAGGGTCGCCAGTTTCGAGTATCTCGCAATAAATGTGCCATTGCCTCAGGTGGCACATGTGATCAGAAAACAACGAACCATGCAACCTTCACACTTTGATGCAAGCAAGGCACATGGAATTTCGGTTTCATGACCCAAGCAAGGAGTCCCTTCCTGACCATAGCTAGTATGCAGCTGCAACAGGTTTCGATGCTAGGAGAGCAGGGCATCCCAAACAGCACGAAATGTAGAGAAGCAGGGCTCAAAATTACAACCCTTTAAAGGGCAAGGAAGGTTGGGGTCATTGCGCCTGTGACTGTGGATTGTCAGCACCCGATGGCATTGCAAGAACTTGTTGCCCGCTGTGTAGATTTTCTCAGCATCAGATTCAGTCCTAAGCTGCAACCTATAATCATTGCAGAAATCATAGCCATGCCGTGCTGCCGTGCTGCACGTATCGTGGGGCTGCTTCGACTCGCGAGTACCATTCAGCATAGGAGGACCTGACTCAGGGAACGGGTGCAGGCTTTCATTGTAAATAAAACGAGTCGGAAGGCACTAGGTCTAAATTTAGCTGTTTATTTTCGAACTAGCAGCAAATTGATGCTCATGATTGCTGTCTGGGCTGCAGTGCAACCGCATGGAGGGCCAGCTCGGACTGATTAGGATGTGCACGGGCAGCTTCGAGTGTGCACGTCTCAGACAGCCATTGGAGCAGGATTCTGCTGTTATAGGCCTTGTTTGTAAAATAGTATCCATGCGATTCCTTCTTCAGTCGTGTAAGCCGGAACCGCTTTTGGCTGCATGGAACTCCTTTGGTTTTCTTCCAAACCTTGAACTCTTGGAAAGCTTTATCCAGTTGTGCATCCTCTGATACAACAGCTGCATCACCCCATACACCAGCATCCATTAATGCCTTCATTGCTCCACCGTTCGCTGTAAGGGTGAGGCCCAGGTTGTTCACATGCATGCTACAGAACTTGACCATGGATATATCGAACCCACGGAGAAATGACAGAGGACCTCATGGATCACTGTCCAGTTATTAGAATAGAATACTTATAGTAGGTTGGTAGCAGGATTTAGACATGCAGTCCAAGTCACTCAAGCATCCAGGCCGAACTTTGTGAAGCAAAAAGTCTGCTGTTGTAGCAATCGTGGAAGCCCAGCCTGCAGACTCTCCAGTCTCGTAATATCGAAGCGGGGACTCATCAGAAGCTTCAGCCCCACAGAACAGGCAGCAGCATGTGCTTGTAGGAGTGTGAAGCAGCCGAAGTGTCCTTTCATGCCATTTCCAATCTCCCCGAAGTTCACAAGCAGCGAATGCCCGTCCGTGCGCCAGGAAATCCCCGGCCCGGGCCATCTTCGAAGATGACAAAGCTTCGCCCATTGGCCCACATTGTGGAAACTTGCCATCAAAGGCCACATTCGAACTCCAGGCAATGTGCTTCAGAATGGGGCTCAGGGTCGCAAGGTTTTCGTGAACCATGAACTCGTCCTTCATACAAAAAACCATAAAGTGTCCAAGCCTAACCTCTTTGGGTCGGAAAAGAGTTAAGGAGACAAACATGGCTGTCACCTTCTCCGAACCATCTGCTGACAGCTGGCATTCATCTCCATAAAGTGAGAACGGTATGTGGGAATGTCGGCACGGCTCGTTTGCATGTGTAGAAGGGTGACGAGTGGCAAAGGGAACACCGTGGCTGCACAGGTGTGCCCAGTATTCTTTGACCTTCTCCGGCGGGGTTTGCAATCCCAGCTCACAATGAACGTAGCTCAGAATCTCATGTATGTCTAGTACCGGTACCGTAGTTGAGGCCTGCTTCCATTCACCATCCGCATACTCCCAGACAGGAACTTTGACTGGTGTAGGCTCCTGCTCTAGACAGCGGGTGCTAACTACAGGGCTTAGGGGATTGCGGTTGTCGGGCCTGGGAGTTTAGGGTCTGGGGCTTGAAGGTTTACAGCTTCAGGGCTTGGAGTTATGGGGTGGTGTTTTGGGGATTAGGGGGGTTGGTGGTTTGTGGGTAGGTCAACCTTATTACTTGAAGGTGTACGGCTAGCTGTTGGGAAGTGCATGGGTTGGTGGGCAGCTATATATAGTTTTAACCTCTTTATGTTTTCTATGCCCCCTGCTATTTTATTTCTTGCTGGGCACCAGAGGAAGCTTCACAGTCTTGAAGAAGTCACGTGCAGCATTTCCAGGCTTGAACCGCATCAACGATTTAATAGTCTTGCCCTTGAAGAACTTCTGGGTGTCCTTGATCAGAACAGGCATGGCAAGGTATATTAGATATTGATCGAGCCAACAACAATGCAACATTGCACCCGAATCGATGTCCTGGAAACCAGCTTGGGCATCTTTCATAGCTGCATCAATACTGGAAGCCTGGGCTGAGGACATATTGCAGGCAGCATGCCTCCGAAATACATTGTGCCTTGACTGCACATTTGGAAGCCAAGGCTCTCCACTGGATATCTTGTTGTACATATGCTGCAGCAAGCCATCGGTATCCTTATCGACATCTTCACCTGGCATGTGCTTCGCAAATCCCTCCCAGTGCTTGGTTTCAGTGTTCAGGAAATAAATGTTGCGTTTCAGGGTCGAAGGATGTGGGTGGCCTTTTGTTGAGGGGCTCTGCTGGGTATTGTCAATATTGTGGTCCAGGGCTTCCAGTTGCAAAGATTTTTTTCACGGGCGAAGCTTCTCGTAAAACTCCACCAAAACTGGATCCCAGACTCAGCCTATGGCAGCATACTAGATCTAGAATGCACTGCATACCTCCCATGGCACCTCAGCATCACAGCTCGTTGCAGCAGCAAGCTCTAGAGGGATTGTATCAGCATTGAAAGATCTGAGGTGCTCCGTGTACACAGCTCACATTGAGCAGCTGCCGGTGCTGCTACATCCGGGCCCCTGTGGCTGCCACCATGCACCTGGTACTCCTGATTTAGTATTATTATAGGGTGACAAAGAGTGATGAACTAACTACGTACACATATATATATATATATGTAGGGTTTAAGGGTTCAGGGTTTATGGGTTTTGAGTCCAGTAGTTACATGTTCAGCTAGCATCACATCCCGCAGACTGCAACATCAAGAGTTTTCTGCTATGTACAAAGTGGCAGGCACAACAATCACAGTGGCCAAGGTTCACCCTGGCACAGCCTTGAAATGAAGAAAGCTGGCAAGTAAACATCATAGCATCTAGTCTAGAATCACAAGTATTACAAAGCTACATGCACAGCTACGGTTCACATTTCACATCACTTCTTAGTCGACTTGCCATTCACTTTGTTCCAGAACTCCTTGGTGATCTTATCAAACTTGTCACACGTTGTGGTCAGCTTGTCCACGGCGCTCGGCATGGATGCCACCTCTGCAGGGCTGCAGGTGAGATTGAGAACCAACAATTAGAGGCTAGCCACAATCTCAGTGGGGAGCCCGATGATTGCACTACAGACCAGATGCCATCTTAGACTAATCACTCTCTATTACGAAATTCCCGGAGGGGATACAGAGTAATGTCTTCAACGTATTCAAATCACTCGAAGTACTCCCAAAAAAGCCTGGTCACTCGACCAATCGGTGTTATATAATATTGTAGATAATTGAGCAACAATATATAGGGGTTTAGACATGGTTGGGCTACAAAGTTTATATATTGGGTACTTTATTATACAGCCAAGCAGATGAAAAACACTTGCACGAAAAGAGCCCGTATAATTGTAACCTTATTCTAAAACGATCACGGATCCTCCAATTCTGAAATCCTATAAACCCCAAACCGATCTCAACACCCACCTAAGGAAATTATTGGCCTCGGACTCATCCATCAATCGCTGCAGATCTGCTCTCTCCGTCCGGATGAGCGAGGCCTTCGGATTTATCAGATATGTGTCATAAGGTCGTGGGGTTTGGGAAACTTTAAGAATGTGTATATAGCTTGCACCTGCGCTTCGACATCGTCCTTCATGGCTTTCAGGAGTTTGTCACCCCTGGATCAAACAAAGAGCAACGGTTTGATGACATGTATGGTTTTGCAAGATATCTGAGTCAAGCACACATTCTCTGACGATTCCACGTCCTGGCACTTTCGTACTGCTTGGAGCTTGTCCGTGGCTTTGTCCACTGCCTAGCACAGAGCATTGCAATTTAAGGGTTCGGGGCTCATGACTGTAAGGGTTTAGGGTTCTGGAAACTCAGGGGGAAGACTTATGAGGGATATGGGCTCCCACCTTCCTGGCCTTGCCTTTCATCTCCTTTGCATTCAGTGGCTTGTCTTCTCCATCGTCTCCGCCGGTTGGCTGTTTGGCCTGGCATTATATAATTGTTCAGGGCATTGGGGGGTTTAAGTAGGGTGTAGAGTGTAGGGTGGAAACCAAACACAAACAAGTGATGATTCAGTAGCCTTGGCTTTCCCTTTTGGCTTTGCTTTGCCCTTGGCTTTGGCCCTGGCACGGTTTTTCTTGTTGGGGGAGCTCTTGCTTTTCTTGCTCTTCTTGTTCTTCTTCGCACTCTTCGGCTGCTTGGGCTTTCCTTCCTTCTTTGGCTTCTTGCTCTCCTGCTCTTCCTCATCCTCCTCCTGACCATCCTCGTCACTGCTTTGGTCGGAGCTCGACTCGTCGAGATCGTTGTCCATCTCGAACGTGTGTTCCACTTCTTCCCCTTCGTAGTTTTCCTCGCTATCATCTACAACACATAGGTATTGCTTGAGATCTTCGCGATGAGGGCAATCAGGATGGTTCCTCACCTGTGTCTTGCACAGCTCCTTGTCATTCACCTTTGCATCTATGATGGCCTGTACCACCTCCTCGTCCTTGTACTTCTGCAGAAGGTCGGCCTTTGTCAGCCACTTTCGGAGTCCAACCTTCTTTTTCCCGGACTTGTTCTTCAAGGTAACCAAAAGCTTGGATGCGTTCCAGTTCTCGTTGGCCTGAAGCCAATGCTCGAACAAGAAGTTTCTCTGATCAGAATCCAGGTCTCTGTCAGCCAGCTTCCTCACTTCCTTCGGTGTCCGGCCACCTGAGCTACTTCTCGAGTGCTTCGACTCTCCCCTTCTCTCTTTTTCTCTCTCTCTCCATCTCTCTCTCTCTCTCTCTCTCTCTCTCTCTCTCTCTCTCTCTCTCTCTCTCTCTCCTCTCTCTCCTCTCTCTCTCTCTCTCTCTCTCTCTCTCTCTCTCTCTCTCTCTCTCTCTCTCTCTCTCTCTCTCTCTCTCTCTCTCTCTCTCTCTCTCTCTCTCTCTCTCTCTCTCTCTCTCTATCTCTATCTCTCTCTCCTCTAGACTGAAACATATAGGAAGGTCTGCATACAATTCTCGTACAAGTAGGTTTCACTTCACAGCAGCGAAGTCCAGTGGCCTCGGCAGCCACTTGTAGGATTCTATATATATATACACACACATATGTATATACCCATACACAACTGGCTTGCCGAGGAGCTGGTGAGAGATCGACTGAATCTCATGTAGCGTGCATGGAGTTTCTTCTTCAGTGCAAGCTTTGCCTCCTGCTCCGGTGTCAATTCTTGCTTGCCTTTGGGATCTCCGTCCTTCTGCTCCTCTGCTTTGGTTGCCCCAGCCTTTTCGACAGTTGCCTGTGACTCCTTCTTGTCCTTCTGTGCTTCGGTTGCCTGTGACTCCTTCTTGTCCTTCTGTGCTTCGGTTGCCTGTGACTCCTTCTTGTCCTTCTGTGCTTCGGTTGCCTGTGACTCCTTCTTGTCCTTCTGTGCTTCGGTTGCCTGTGACTCCTTCTTGTCCTTCTGTGCTGCGGTTGCCTGTGACTCCTTCTTTTCCTTGTCTGCTTCGGTTGCCTCTGACTCCTTCTTTTCTTTCTGTGCTTCGGTTGCCTGTGACTCCATCTTTTCCTTGTCGACTTCGGTTGCCTGCGACTCCTTCTTTTTCTTGTCTGCTTCGGTTGCCTGCGACTCATCCTTTTCCTTTTGTGCCTCCTGTCCCTGCTGGGTCGGTGCTTCAGTTTCCTGTACGGGCATCGAACGGCTTTTCTTCAATCGGTCGATCTGAAAAACTACCTCAGCGAGTTCATCATCGCTGAGGCGGTCCACTGTGTGGCCTCGTTGCAAGATATCCTGAATTGATGCCCACTGCTCCTGCGGCGAACCTGTGCTCACATCCTTCTCAGGCTTCTTGAGGCTTGTGTCACCATGCTTGCGCTTGTTCTGGCCTGTTGTTGCAGGGGAGGTGGTTGGGGACGGCTGGGTAGCTGGAACAGAGGGCGAGGCCTTCAAAGGAGAGGTTGCTGGGGTTGCAGGCTGCGAAGACATCGTTGTGGCTCGCTTCAATGCATGTGCATTCTCAATGCTTTTTGGGCTTTTTGTTCTGCTGCCGGAGCGGGGCTGCGACTCAGTTTGCTTCTGCGGGGTCTGCTGGGTGCTTTGTGGGCCTGGGCTTTCAGCTTCTTTGCACCTGTCATCATCCTGGTGCTTGCTCCACCACCCAGGGGTAGAGCTCCAGCCCCAAGAACCCCAGCCCCACTGATCATCATTCCAAGCCGACCAAGCTACACCGTAGCCTGAGCCCCATGAATCATTCCCCTTCCAGTCCCATTCCTCCACTTGTGTCGAAGGAAACTTCGCAAGCTGCTGATACTCCAACGTGTCAGCCTCGGAGAAGCCTTGCTCACGATAGCCATCTTTAGCAGCCTCCGGCAGCAAGAGCTCTCGCATGGATGGAACAACATTTTGGATGTGTCGTATAGACTCAGGCTACGAAGCATGCAGTTATTAATCGGGGTATGTGTTTATAAAAACCCTCTACATGTATAATGTGCATGTATATGTTATGCATATTCATGTATATATGTATGTATGTATGTATGTATATATTTATGTGTGTATGTATGTATGTATGTATGTATGTATGTATGTATGTATGTATGTATGTATGTATGTATGTATGTATGTATGTAGTATACATATATATGTATAGGAACACATGCTATGTATATGTATGTATGCATATGTACATGCAAAAGCACTTCATGTTGCATGTCCGATCATTGGCTGTATGCTACATATATATATATATTGTCATGCCATAACCGATATAATATCTATACTAGTTAAATTATGTTATGTTATGCACATATATATGTATGTGTGGTCCCACACCAGGCCTCAGGCTCTTGAGCATTTAGCCCCCGCTGATCATCTTCCATGTGCACTTGATCCTGAGGCCACAGACATGGCTTTGCATTGGTTTTACCTAGAGGTTCAGTTCTATACACATACATGAGACCACATGGGCCGGGCCTGATCATTGTCTTCCTGTGGAGCATCAGTCTTTGCATCTTTGTCATCATCCTGTTGGGACCCAAGTTTAAGTATATCCTGCGTGCATGAAGAGTATCCAGATTACTCGGGAGCACCAGGCTTGCAAAAAACACTCAAGTGACATGCAATGCTCGGCCTCAGGATGGGATGCCTCTGGAGCTTCACTCATCCTTTCATCGATCCCAGCCTGGTGAAACTTCACTGCAAGCGAACTGCAAAAATACCCGACACCCTAACCCCAACCCTAGACCCTGGGCCCTAGACCCTAAACCCCGTAAACCCCCACCCAATATAAGGCCTTGTGTGGAAAGCCTCCGGTAGGTCAGATGTTTGTTTCCACCCTCCCCCCCAAAAAACAGCCACCCCTTTTCAACCCTGATGAGAATAAGTATACCTAGTTTGGCGACTTAGGGATAAGGTTTGGGGTCTAGGGAAGATATATAGTGGAACTTTGGAGAATCCCAGGTGCAGCCTGCCTGGCTGATGTCTGCAACTCCTGGAGCCGGACCCACGGCCTGCCAGGACAGGGCACATCATGCTAGTATAGATAGTAGTTATAGTTAGATCTAGATCGAGCACGAACATACATGAACACTCCCCTTGTGCTGGCCTGGTTCGACGTCGGCTTTGGGCTTGGCTTCTTCTCTCGCTTGACGGGTCGTCGGCCCGGTGTGGGCAGCTCTCGCTTCAAAGGCTGCGTTGAGGGCTTGGCAGTCTGCGGCACCTCCGGTTCCTCGATCGGTGGGCCCTGGTTCAAGGCCTTTGCCCTCAGGGCTTTTGCACGTGCAAGAGCTTCACTCACTGCCGAGGCCATGATGGAGGGGCCGGGCTTTCCTAGACTTAGCTAAGTACACTGTACATTATATTGCAGATGATCCACAAATCAACATAAGTGCAACTGCAGAGCATGGTAAGGATTCCTTCCCAAAGGTCCTAGATCAAGGAGCCAATCAATGGTCATAAAAGACACTCGCGACAACTCACGCTAAAGTCACGCTTTGCTCACGGTTTTCCGGGGTGGTTGCACACAGCCTATGACTGTGGCTATATAAGCACTCACGCCCACTCACGCTCCACTCACGCTTTACTCACGCTGTGGTGCGTGTCCAATTGCGCTTGGATTCTTCTGCTCAGAGCAGCATATTCTGCTCCAGAACAACAACTAATTAGGCCTGAGGCCCAAAGATCATCTGTGAACTTCGCTGAATTAAAGGAGCCCTCATGGAATTAAATGTCACAGCCACACTTTAAGTGTGCAGAACACCTATAAGCTAGTACTCACAGGCGAGACAGCGGCTTGAAACGCCCTGCTTGCTCCTCCTGCCGCAGGAATTGAAGAACCTCTCCGAGTTCGGCGTGCACCCAATCCAGTGGCTTCGGGACCTGGCGGCAAGCACTTGAAACACAATTGGTTTAAGTTGTACCACCCCACTGCGCCAATAGATCCTGCCTTTGGGCCGGCAGCAAGGAGATCCCGACCATCTTGCAGCCACTGCACGATCTTGTGTCCAGATTTCTCCTTTGATTAAGTTCATGTTGTGGCACTGCAACAACATATAGCAACTCATGCTGCCCAGATTCAACGAACTGCATGTGTAGCTTCAGGACCTTGTTGCAAAACTTCTGCGGGTACTCAGCAGTTCGCTTTAGCTTGGGCCCACCGGTCCTTGGGAGAGCCAGCAGGGATCCAGGTTTTATCAGAAAGGACTCATTATATAAGCTACGATGATGAGCTCAGCCCCCTGCACCACCGTCTTCCCATACTTGTTCTTTCGTCTATAAGACACACCATTCGAGGTCAAGCCCAGCCGAAGCCGCCGTTTGTGCGTCAGCTTCTTGAAGAGCTTGGAAACCCCACCCCTCAGTAACAACTCACACCTGCAGCTGACAAGGCCCCAGCCCAGTCGAATGTTACATAATTTCAGCAGGGAGACAGTGTCCCAAAGGCCAGGGAGCCCTTGGGGCTGAAGTGGCCCCAGGAACCAAGCCAGCTTAGATGGACAGGAGGCACAGAGAGAGAGAGAGAGAGAGAGAGAGAGACAGAGAGAGAGAGAGAGAGAGAGAGAGAGAGAGAGAGAGAGACCCAAAACGGAGCCACGAGAAGAGAGACCACAACAACAACAACAACAACAGGCGTTCCCAAAACGGAGCCACGAGAAGAGAGACCACAACAACAACAGGCGTTCCCAAAACGGAGCCACGAGAAGAGAGAGGGAGAGGGAGAGGGAGAGGGAGACGGAGAGGGAGAGGGAAACAAAGGAGAGGCACAAGCACTGCACATGTGTATTGCATGCATCCTGGGGCAACGGCAAGAATGTACGATGGATTGGCATGAACCGTTTCAAAGTCTCGAAGACGTGCCTCATATATGGTGACCACTCCAAGAGTGACGATGCCGGCTGTTCCAGCATAAAGAAGGTTTGGCGGACCGTCATCAAGAGCAGGATGAGGCATACCCTGGCACAGATCCTTATTGGTGGCAGCATGGTCTGAAACATAGCTATGGAAGGGAGGGAGGGAGTGACAGAGAGATACATACACATAGAGAGAAGCAGAGAGACAGAGAGAGAGAGAGAGAGAGAGAGAGAGAGAGAGAGAGAGAGAGAGAGAGAGAGTGTGGGTAACGGGCAGCTACCCCATATCAACGTATAGGGTATTGTTCCAAGCAACTTGTTCGAAGTGCGAACATACTCCAGCTCTTCATTTCCTAATGGCTCGTCTCTGCTGCGACCAGAAGTTGCTGCATTCATGAAGACATAGCTGTTGCATGGAACACCAATGGTGGCCATGCCGACTTGGGCTTTCAATTTCAAGGCCGAGCGAATCGCAGAGATGAATCCTAACCTCAGTTAGGTCAAATGATCATGATCATAGTAGAGGAATTGGTATTATTCGGGCTTCATGGCTTTTTCTGAACATAGGCTTCTAGATCTGCGCTTTGGAGGTTTGGGGTTCTAGGGTTTGGTTGGGGCTGAATTCGGGGGCTTAGGGGAGTTGTTCCGACTCTTGTTGATCTGAGTACGAGCCACTTCCACTAGAATGAGTTCTCGGGGTTGGGGTCTAGGTATAGTTAATATAAGAATGTGAGCTTTGGGTCAGAGCTGCGAGAACAGTAAAAGCTTCGTAATCCAAGGTGAGCAGCGTGGTGCAGATATCATCGCTTGGCCGGGACGACGAATCCATATAGTCCCTGAGTTGCATGCAAGTCTGTGCAACTGCACAGGTGGATGCTATCCATGTTGCTAATGAGACACGAGCGAAGCCCTGACAGGCCTGCAGCACGACCAGGCATACACACACCATATACATGAACCTACTACATGACAACACAGTATGTTACATGGACACTCCACCAGGCCCCCTGCAGTACTGCCGCTGCATATTTCTCACTCCACTGAACATGTCGTAGTGAACCAAATCCTGAGGAGCAATACGGTCTATTAGTTTGCAAATGATAGGCGGTGCGACTCTCATGAGTAGTTGAGTGCCCAGCTCTGAATGACATGTCGGGTGGGCTGTTCTGCACAATGTAATCGCAGCAATGAATCCTGCAGTCTTTATATCCTACATGTCTGAGATCTTACCAGACTACAGCAAGCTGGAAGTTGAGTGGCTGGCAGCACACTGTGACAACCCATCAGCGTCAAGGTGGCGATTGCTGATGCCGAGAGAGACAGCGGTGACTTCTTCATGGGATCCATGGCTGCAGACGTACTGTGCAATCTAATCTAACATGCAGACATAGACACACACACACACACACACCTCAGGTCGATGGCAGGATTCAGGACTCGTCACACCCGTTTCGGAGTTATTACATGTTTGTTCATGTACACACATAGACCCCCTGTCTGTAGAAAGTACGTAGCTCGCCTCTGGTAGCCGGCAGCAGTTTCAATGGAGACTTCGCATGATCGCAATGCCCATGGTGAATATGCACAATCATTGTAACTCACGGAATTGACCGTTGCTGTTCTTTTGCAGTCGGAGCAGCACAGATCACATCCCAAGTCACACGTGTGACACGATAGCATCACGTCCACGTAGGTTTCAACCATCCTGCAATCTTTTTGGCAATCATGTACCTTGGCTCCATGATCGAGACATTATAATTGACAAATCAACTTACAAACAACCGAGAAGCTGCCGTTGAAGTGACCCTTGGTCACCCTTCACCCAAGTGATGGACACTCCGTCTTGCTTGTTAGCCTTGGATTGGCAGTTCCCCAAAACCACAGATCCAGAGCAACATGCATGAACCAATGCGAAGCTGCAAACATCACCATAAGACCCTGATTGCACCTGGTACTGCAGCTTGTGGAATTTATTCACAGCCTCGAGCGTTGTCTTATCCACACCATTGACCAGGAAGCTGCCACCCAGCCTGAGCATTG